TAGACAAGGAGAGCATACAGTGTGTAAAAGCCAACTCTGCTTTTAAACAGCTCTCCATCCTTTCCTCCTGTTTTGTGCACACTTCTTCCCCTCAGACACTTTGCACTTCACCTCTGATTTCATGTTTTCATATTTTAAGTTCTTTTTTCACAGGAAGGACTCTCCCTCTGGAACTTCACAGGAGGGGATTAGTAGTTTTCCGACCCTTTATCCATTGGATTTTTTTTTCAGTCTCTTCTCCATGGAGAAATCAATGTATTTTCAGCAACTCCTCAGCATGTTAAAGGACAATAAAAACAAAGAATCCTGAAACTTAACCACTACAAATATAGCAAAAAAGTACCACCAACCTCTGCCTCCCAGTGTCATCTCTGGTTGTGGTGGCACAGCCCAGTCCCTGGGGCTGTCTCCAGCCTCACCTAACTGTGCACGGAGCCATTTCAGATCACCAAGCTGACACAAAACTCCCTGTATTTTCACTTAGCTTAGCTTTCTGCTGGTGCAGGATCAAAGACCAGAGCCAATGGAATGACACACAAGGAGAAGCAGGTGGAGGACAGCACCACACACCTCAAAAGTAAGGGGAACTTGCCAGAGAGCACCAGACTGCAAAGACCAGGATTTTGCACTGTGTCCATCAAGAATGATGGAGAATGTGAGAAGAGTAAGAGACATTCTAGAGCTATAAAAGAAAGGGCAGACGTCAGTCTCAGAAGGTATTAAATCACCCCTCTCTGGGGTGCTGCAGGCAAGCTTCTCCCAAACATAGTTAACCCAGGGAGGACGTGTGTCACCCATAACTGAAACCCTGCTGTCAGACCCAGGAGACTTTCCAATTCAGCCATGATTCTAGCCCAGGGTTGAAGTTCAGCTCTTCCCTTTGTCCAGGTTCACCAAAGGAAATAAAACTGAAATCCTTCACACCACATAGCATACTTGGACAGGAAAAATGTAATGGCCTTGCAGAAGCAGGCATTCAGAAGACAGGAGCCTGGGTCACTCCTGATAACACCAAAGGCTTTTATAGTTTCTAGTGTGTGCTTCAATGTAACAGCATGTTGTTTACATGATTTTAATATGAACAGGAACAAAACAGAAAATGCTTCTAAGATAGGATCTTAGTGATTATGCAAGTGTTCCCCAAAATACACTAAGAATGGAATAAGACAAGTGGTATTTACCATAGCTTCCTCACCACTTCTGGATCACAGAGAGAACCAAATCAACTCTAAATATTTTCTTATTTCAAAAAACATCTATAGCATCAAATAACTTCTATGAGGCGTATTTTGTAAACAATCTTAGTCTCTACTAAGTTAGATCAAAAGTATATCCTTGCAGAAGCAACAGACATGAGAAGTAACAGCAGTTGTACATCCAGTCTGTCTTTGCTAGAAAGAGAATTACACCTGAAAAAGAAGTACCTGGAAACCATCTAATGTTCCTGTTGAGCATGCAAGGGTTGTGTCAAAGTGGAACTCACTACTGCAGAGTCAGCTACCTACAACATCTTTAAAACAAATCTCTGAATTTGCTGCCATATCTATTGTTCTCTACAAAACATCCTCATTACAGGAAATCCACTACTAGGATACATCTGAAGATGTAATTATTACTGTGATATTTGCTTCTCCTCCAATGTATCTCATCAAGCATAAAACCTGAGGCTGTCTTACAACTCACTAAAAATATGTTATTCTGGTGACAAAACCTGATGAATATAGACAGAGATGAAAACCACACAAATGGAAATGTTATTTAGCTGGAAGTAAACATTTAAAGTTTTCCAGCTTAGCTTACACCAGAATTTAACAGCAGGACACAGATAACTTTTTCAAATAGTCTAACTTGAGGCCTAAGCCAACTTATCTGTACATAATTTTAATGCCAACATCTGGTCCTGTACAGGCAACACTTAATTCAGTCGAGTTAAAGAGAAAAATAATATCAAACTATCCAAGGAGTTTTTACTTCAGGCAGTTGTGTTTCAGCTGGAATAAACTTAAATTAAGCTGTTCTACCAGAATCACTTTCTCTTCAGTGAGGTATTCTTAACAGAGGATAAAAACATTCTCTCAAGTTCAAAGGACAAATTAAGGTTCAAGTTTATCAATGTATTTCAGTCTACGGGTAAAAGGAAGAGGAGTCCTAAAAATGGCAAACATACCAGTCAGAACTAGGCCAGTGTTGTGGAGAATCTAATATGAAGGCTCAAACCAATCGTTGATTAGGTTTGCCCTTGGACATAAGTAGCAAAAACTATGACATGCTCACTACGAGCAGGCACAAAGGCAAGGAAAATGTAGGCCCAAAGTAGGGTCAAGAAAAATGTACCCAAAATTGTATTTATTGCTACAGAATTTGTTATTCTGCAATCCTGAAATAGGAAAACAAACCTTCACTAGTATCAAAATGTATGATATTTTCACTGTTTTCACCATTATGGGCTATCTGCTAAAGCTATTTTTCAGACACTGAAGACCTGAGTTATATTGTTCAATAATAGATATGTATATGTGTGTGTGTGTGTGTGTGTGTGTCAGGAGTGGTATTTTGGGAACATTTCATCCGAAGCACTTCAAGCTGATAACCTTTATCCAAACACATAAAACAAGAGCCATGGCAAATGCACTATAAATAGCATTAATAGTAAGGAATCAATAGCATCCAAACCTTTAGGTAACATCTTATTAATCCGCCCTTGGCATGCATGGGCACACTGCTGTAAGGGCTCTCAAAATGCAACAGTCAAAGGTGAAGGATACAATTTGTTCAACTAGTTAATGCAACTGCTATTTAACCAACACAGCCACTAAAATGCCACCTAATGAAATACTCCCTACCATGATAAGCAGCAGAGACAAGCGTGATAAACACAAAACGTTTTTCTAACAAAATAAATTAAAAGTCCTCAGTGCTGATCCCGTTGTCTTATTTTTTTTTTCCTGAAGATATGTACGGATCTACAGTTGACAACAACCATTTTAATCCCTGATTCTTCTGCACCCCCCACCCCATTTCTTGTACCGCGCCCAACACAATGGTACAACTGCATCTCCCAGGTATCGCCTCGATATTTATTTCTGCTTTCACAGTGACAAAGGTGAACTCTGATGCTCCGAAGATGCTTGCAGCAAAGCAGGGTGAAAGATATTTCTAAAGACATACCCACACGCGGGTTACAGAAATCCAGCCTCCATGAGATGTTTTAATCTGACAAATTAAAATGGTTGGGAAACGCTATTTGGGTAACGGAATCGGCCGCCACATGCATTGCTGATGGGGGGGAGCAATAAAAGGTCTTTAAAATAGGTCACTTTCAACCAAATCCCACACCAGCACCGAACAAAATGGTATATACACTGAAAACTCACCGCTTGGGGAGGAGCGAGGGGCAGGGAGGAAAAAAAATAAAAAAGGGGAAAAAAAATAAAGGGCAAGAATCAGGAATCCACGCGGGTCTCCCAGGGACCCCCAAGCCCCCCGGGGGTTCCGGGCTCTGCCGGCGAAGCCCCCTGTGGTGGGGTGGAGGGGTGGGGGCCGCAGACAAAAAGGGCCGCGGCTCCGGGCACGCCTGGCCCCGGCCCCAGCCCTGGGCCTCCGGCGGCCCTGACAGCGGGGAACACCCCTCCGCCCGCGGCCGCCCCTCCGCGGGAAGCGCCATTTCGCCGCCCGCTCCCCCGCCGGTGCTCGGCGGCGGCCGCGGCCCCGACCCTGCGGCAGTGCCGCAGAGCGAGGCGGGGGAGGCGCCGGCCCCACCGGGCCGCCCCCCCCCAACCACCATCAACCTCCTCCCTCACCCTCCCCGGGGCCGCCCCGGCCGAGCCGCTCGCCTTACCCTCCGCCGCAGCCGGGCTGGGAGCGCCGGTCGGCCCCCCGCGGAGGAGGAGGAGGACGAGGAGGAGGAGGAGAAGAAGGAGGAGGAGGAGCGGGGCAAGGGGCGGCGGCCCCGCGGGGGGAGGCGCCCCCGGAGGGGCGTCGGGCCCGGCCCCCGCGGGTGCCCGGGCGCGGCGGGCACAAAGGCGGCGGGGCACGGCACCTAAG